TATCAGGATTCACTCTCTCTCCCGAGTTCTAGTCTTGTATTTTTCAATTTCTTTCTTTGCTTTTTTTTTTTTTTTTGAAACGGAGTTTCGCTCTTATTGTCCAGGCTGGAGTGCAGTGGAACGATCTCAACTCACTGGCAACCTCCGCCTCCAGGTTGCAAGCGATTCTCCTGCCTCAGTCTCCCGAGTAGCTGGGACTACAGGCACGCGCCACCACACCTGGCTAACTTTTTGTATTTTTAGCAGAGATAGGGTTTCATCATGTTGGGCAGGCTGGTCTCAAACTCCTGAGGTCAGGTGATCTACCCTCCTCGGACTCCCAAAGTGCTGGGATTACAGGCGTGAGCCACCACACCCAGCCATAAATTTTCACTTTCTATTGAATATATCTATCTGGGTGGCCCACGGGTACAACGACTGTTTTTAGCTTATTCATTTATTGTGCCAGAAATCTCCAATCTGGAAAGGGGTCCTGGGGGAGCAGGGCAGGGAGCGGTACTGTATCTCACTGTGGCTATTAGTCTTTTCTTCAAGACAAGGTTACCAGGTGGACTTAGCTCCTACAGGGCTTGGTTCGTTTTCCTGTTACTTATGTTGTGATTATTTGTTTACAAATCACTCCTAGCTACAAGACTATCTGTGAAGCCCCGGGCCCTGGCACAGTTTCCCGCTCACAGTGTATGCTTAATAAGGGAGGCTGAATAAAAGCAGGTAGCATTGTGGTGACCCCACTGATACGTCAGCACAGACACAGGTAAATTGAATTCTGCATGGGATTAGAGATAGCTTCCCAAAGGAGGCGATGGTGAGACTTCAAGGACGAACAGAATTTCAGGAGGAAAAGAATGGGGAATATTCCACGCAAAGCCAGCAGGACATGAACAAAGGCAGGAAGACAATAGGACCCGCATGTTCACGTGATCTGGCATGGCTAAGGTGCAAAGTATTTGGTGGGGGTGGCATGAGACAGTTGGAAAGGCAGGTATGGGCCAGGTTGCCAAGAAAGTAGGGTTACAGAGTTTTGACATAAAAACCATGTCAATATCAGCATGCCACTGAGGGTTTTTAGGCAGGGAAATGATAAAACCAAGAGCACTTTACTTTTAGGATCTCTAAAGGCGGGCTGTCTTTGTGTCTTATCTCTTAAAGGCACTAACGTTTCTATCCTATTCCCAACCCATTAAAAAGACGTAAAGAAAATACTGTGCCTGGGTTTTTGGAGGCTGACAAGTTAAGGAGCTCTGGCTGACTAGATTTGGAAATTTGAGAAAGTCAACCTATTCTTGATAAGATTTTTTTTGTTTGTTTCAAGTTCCCTCGTCTAACCCGTAAAAAGATTTTAAAAAACAGAACACAGGAAATAATCCTTCACCTGACTTAAAAAAAAAAAATTCTTAGAATGTCACACCTTCATTTCCTGTTTTCTACCTTCAATTTTGAGTACCTTTTTTTTTTTTTTTTTTTTTTGATATAACTTCAAACAGAAGTTATAAGAATAGCACAAGGAATTCGGGTACGCTGTATCCTTTACCCAGAGTCACTAATTCCTTCTGTTTTGTCCATCTGCTTTATCTTTCTCTATTTTTATAGATGAGCATTTTCCTGAGCCATTGAAAGATGGAACATACCCCTTTTACTTCCAAATACTTCAGTGTATAAGAACAAGATCATTTTCTTACATAACCCATAAGATAGTTATCAAAAATAGGAAATTTAACATTGATATAATACTATTATCTAATACATAATTTGTCAAATGCATAATCTGGATTCAAATTTTGTCAGTTATCCTAATAACGTCTTAGCTATTTTCCTTCCCTTTTTTTTTTTAGATTATTGTCAAATTATTTGTCTTTTGTCCCAAGATATCTATATTTCTTTCTTTTTTCTTTTTTTAGAGACAGGGTCTCTGTCACCCAGGCTAGAGTGCAGTGGTATGATTACCACTCTGCTCCAACCATCACAAGACTCAACTGTTCCTCAGTTTACCAATCCAGGGAACTCCTGACTGGCCCAGCAGAATGGGCTGAACCAATATCCTCCAACTCCTGTAAGCAAAAAGTCTGTGCTATTCCAGGTTTCCCATCATCTCCAACACAACTGTAACTGCGGCTGGCTTCTGGCAAATTGTTTCTTCATGGAAATATCAAATGAGTGGAAAAACTCCAAGTAGCATGACCATCTGGTCCGCCACAACAAGCCTGTGACAAAAGTCATCTATCAAGGCAAAATGTCAAGCACATGGCATGGATCTTGCATTTTCCGTTCTGATCAGGAAAAGGCAAGTTTTTTCTCCTCCAGGATTAAAATAATAATTTTTCAAATTAATAGGCTTCCCAACCTGGTGAACATTTCAATATCTTAGCTAGAAGCACTTTTTACTTTTTGTGTGTGTTAAAAACGCTAGCAAGCAATACTGGAAGCAAACAAGTGCTCCATTATCAGCTCTACAAGCGTCCTGCTGAATAACCTTGGGAAAAATCACTTGGCTTTTCCGTATTTATAAAATAAACAAAATAAAATACATAAAATGTATAAAATATACACAGGTGCTTTGGGCTACTAAGTTCCTTTTATGAACTTCTACATTACAAATTTCAACTAAGTTAAAAAACAAAACGAAACACCTGGACTGGTGTGGTGGCTCATGCCTGTAATCCCAGCACTTCGGGAGGTGGAGGCAGGCGGGCTGCCAGAGCTCCAGAGTTCAAGACCAGCCCGGGCAACATGGCAAAACCCCGTCTCTGCAAAAAAAATACATGGTGCACGTCTGCAGTCCCAGCCACTCAAGAGGCTGTGGTGGGAGGACTACTTCAGCCTGGGAGGCCAAGGCTGCAGTGAGCTGTGTTTGCACCACTGCACTCCAGCCTGGGCAACAGAAGGAGAACTTATCTCAAAAAAAAAAAAAGAAAAGAAAAAGAAAACAAAAACAACAACGAAAAGCCACTTAGGACTATCAATGGGAAGTTCCAAAGGGCTATCACAAAGCCCTACCTTCTATTCTCTACTCATTTACCACTTACAGGTAGAACTGTACTATTTTTTAGTAGCTGTGTGTAAGAAAAATTTGGTGCGACAGTAAAGTAAAACAGGTGAAAATCTGATTTTTGTATTTTGTATGTTTCAGTGACCCATGTCCTGTTTTCACAGATAACCTAGAATTAGTCCTGTTAAAATTGAGGTTCCACTCCACCAGGAATTTGTTAGCAAGAGACAGATAGAAATAAACAACCACCACCAGCCTACAAAACACATGAAAATAACAGGCTTTAAAGAATAACTGAAGCTGAGATACATAAGACTGACGCTATTTGTTGTGCTGTGTGTAATTCCTTTCCCCTGGATAGAACTTCTACATTCTAGGGAGAAAGTGGAGATTGCTGTCCTACCTTCACCTTCTGTGGGGGTTTTTTCTAAGTAACAAATAGTGTTGAACTTCAGAGCTTCCATTATTTCACAGGCTTCAGGGTAATGGATTTCCGGTTCACACTACTTTTCATGTTTTAAGTCCTTCAATCAACAACTCTAACACCATACAAAATCTGCTCTTGTCTGTTACCTAATGTTCACATGTTTGAAACCTTTACAAACGCTGTATTTCAACAACAGGAAAAATCTTGTTTCCTAGAAAAGCACTGAAATCTGTTTCCAGGATAAGAAAAAAGGTCTAGGCCGGGCGTGGTGGCTCAAGCCTGTAATCCCAGCACTCTGGGAGGCAGAGGTGGACGGAAGGCTTGGGCCCAGGAGTTCAAGAACAGCCGGGCAACATGGTGAGACCCAATCTCTACAAAAAATTAGCCGGCACCTGCAGTCCCAGCTACTCCGGACGCTGAGAGGTGGGAGGATCGCTTGATCCTGGGAAGTTGAGGCTGCAGTGAGTTGTGTCTGCACCACTGCACTCCAGCCTGGGTGACAGAGCCAGGCCTATGCCTCAAAAAGAAGGAAAGGACAGGACAGGACAGCAAAGGAAAAGAAAAGAGAAAAGAAAAGAAAAGAAAAAAGACAAGGCTTGCCAATGCAGTAAAATGTAAAGCTGATGACCCGGCTAACGAAGAGACTCAGTTTTCAGGCTTTTCACAGTCTTTGCATGGAAAGCCCATTTCTAGAAGATCAATTTAAATCCCCACCAAAAAGAACACATTTGTGTGATGCATATCTAGCTCCTGAATTACGTGTTTACAGAGCTTAAGATATTGAACTAAAGCCAATGAAACAGTCTTAGAACAAATTACTTTACATCGTATGTAATCACAGCTACCGATAAATCAATTGCTTCTTTTGCCAAATAGTACATCAGAGACTTCTACGAAAAGTTCAAATAAATGTGGTGTACTCGGTGGCTTCCAACAAGTGGAAGCGAATATTTTTGGCTTTCAGCACTACAGGAAAACATCCCTTTAAATAATCCTTGTTTGTATCTGAAACACGGATCTGGATTGCTTCCTACACTAGAATCCTAATCTCTAAAGGAGATGATCAGATTTTGCACGGAAGCTAGACGAATCAACCTGGAACAGATCACTCCTGCCCTACCTGTCCAGGCGGCGGACAGAAGCAGACAGACAAGTTTCAAGAAGTTAGGGAGTCACTGATGCGATGGTGATCCACGCACCGTGGGGGCAGCGGGGCAAGGGAGAAAGACACGAGGCTTCCACCTTCCAGGCGCCCATGCACCGCTCCTGCCTTCAGAGGCAGGCTGGGCCTGTCGGCTTTTCAAAAAGTCAAACACTTGGTGGGAGAAAATCGTTGGTGGAGAAGACAAAACACTTTTGTTTTGTTTTCCGGGACACCACCCTCGAGGCTGCCAGACTAGACCCCGCACGCGATAAGGGTGCGGCGGGAGGCGACGTCGCGCGCGGCAGCATCTCCGGGTCCCGCGGCTGGGGGCTCCCACCCCTCCCGAGCTTCTTGGAGTGGCTTCTACCTTTTTTTTATTTTTAACTTTTCACGGCCCCCGCCCCCGCCCCGCGCCCCACCCCCACCCCGCGCTGGGTGCAAACCTGCTGGAGAGGGCGGGCGCCAAGGACCCTCACCTGCACGCCCCGCCGCCGCAGGACCGGAGCCGGGAGGACGGCGGACGAGCCCTGGCGGCCCGACGGGTCTGCGGGGAGCCGGGCGCCGCGAGCTGCGGGGCCTCCGAGAGCCTGGCAGGCGGCAGGTGGGGCTGAGGGCAAAGCCAGGAGCCGCGGGCAGCAGGAGCCTCGCCGCCACGCCCTCGACGTCGGAGAGAGCGGCCACCTAGGCGCGGACTAGGGCGGTGTCCCGGCTGAGCGAGGCTGCCGGCGCCGCGCGCGCTCCCGGGCCCCTGCGCGCGCCCGCCTTGTCCCCTCCTGTTCTGGCAGGGCGCGCGCACGGCGGCGCAGGCGCCGGAGGCCCGGCCGAGGCCGGGGCCGGGGCGGGGGCGCGCGGGGGCCGGGGTGGGGGTGTCTCGCCGCGCGCGCGCCCTCCTTCCGCTCCTCCGGGTCCTTGGTCCCCAGCCTGTAGGGGGCTTGGGCTGTAGCGCTGGGGCGGGGGCTTTAGATCCCCCCAAAAACAGGACCTCTGGCGACCTTCTCGTTTTCCACCGGGAGCGGAGACAGCCGATCTCCTTTTCCTGCTAGCCCCGTAGGACAGTCTCCGGAGCAGCTCATAGGAATATGACGAACGTTTACTCAGGGCTGGTTACTATGTACACTGCGCCCCGCGCGCGGCTGGTTTACCTCGGTTCACCTCCCGGCAACCGGCGGCCCGGATATTATCAGATGCGGGGGACTGGGCGGCGCCTCATTGCCCGAGGAGAGGCGGCCTCAAGTACCTGAGCTGGAGCTAGCACCAGGTGTGGGACGGCACAGGCTGGGTCCCGCCCTGGCGGGTACAACCCTCTTCCCCTTCCCCACACCTTCCCCTCCCCTCTCCTCCTCCCCACTCGTGCTCTTCTCCCTCCTCCCGCTCTCCCTCCTCCTCTTACTCCTCTTCACTCTATGCCCTATCTACCGTTGTCGTACAATTCACATGTTTAATGCTTTCTTTTTCGTGTAAAAACCCTTCCATGCAGTCTTGCTTGCTTGTCTCCGACGCCCTAGGAGACCATGGGACATGATTACAACTATTACGCAAAGGAAAGAGCCGGGGTCTGAACTGTTCAGCGTGTTTCAGTGGTAGAACCGAGGCTTACATTAGCAGGTATTATTATTACCAATAACAACTATGATGACAAAGCTCCTGAGCACAACTTGGAAGGCAGCTGGTGTCTCCTCCCTTAGCCAGCAGAGAGGGAAGCAGGGTCACAGAGCAGGGAAAATAACTGGGCTCAGCTCCCACCTGCAAGGACCCGCAGCTGCACGGTGGTGCACACCCATAGTCCCAGCAACTCAGGAGGCTGAGGCGGGAGGATCGGTTGAGGCCAGGAGTCTGAGACCAGCCTGGACAACATAGCAAGGCTCCGTCTCAAAAGAAAAAAAAAAGGAATGTGCAGTGCAGTTAGAAGAAAATCAGCTCTGATTACCCACTCAAGGCCTTTCAGAGGCAAAGTGAGGCACAGTGAAGGTTAACATCAAAGGCACTCAGTGCCTGCATCATGGGGCAGGAAGATGGACTAAAATGTGTATAGCACATCTAATCCCTGTTAGATGTAAACTGAGGAATCGGGGTTGGATTATGACCCCAAGGGCTCTCCAGCAGTTGAACCCAGCACCGTCACAGAGGTATATCCAGCAGATCACCCTTCCTGCTTCCTGCTTGCTGCTTCCTGCTTCCTGCTTGCTGCTTCTGTGGTTCCTGCTGCCTCCAACCCTGCTGCTCCTGCTCCCCATCTTCTCTTAACTAAGTTCTTCACTTTCATTCGTTTAACTAATATTGATTGCAAACTGCTTCTTTTGTCAAAGTCACCCTAAGGACTGCAGTAATTTTTTTTTCCCTCTAAATTCCTCTAACACAGCAACTTTTGCAAAAGTTGAGGGTTTTTTGTTTTGTTTTGTTTTGTTTGTTTTGAGATGGGGTCTGCTCTGTTGCCTAGGCTGGAGTGCAGTGGCACAATCATAGTCTCAACCATCCAGGCTCAAGCGATCCTCCCACCTCAGCCTCCTGAGTAGCTGGGACTACAGGTGCATGCCACCATGCCTGGTGAATTTTTCTATTTTTTGTAGAGACGAGGTCTCACTATGTTGCCCAGGCTGCTCTTGAACTCCTGAACTCAAGCAGTCCTCCTGCGTTGGCCTCCCAGAGTGCTGGGATTATAGGCATGAGCCATTGCACCTGGCCAAAACATTGAGTTTTCACATCACATGAGATTGGAAACAGCTGCATTCCATAGCCCTGCCTGGAGATGTCTGATGCACGTTCACACACACACACACAAATAGCCTTGAGAGATCCTAAGTCAAACAACCAGGTTAGCTTGTTTAACTGAGTTTCCCTGAGGAATTAGGCCCTGTGCGGGTGTTGGGCTTGCACGGGTAAGGCCCATACAGATCCGTCACCTGATCCGTCACCTGAGGAGCCCACAGATGGGGAGACAGTGATTGTGACACAATTGTAGATGTGCACTATTTGAGACATTGGCGACGCACTGACAAAGCAGAGGAAGAAGTGAGCAATCTACATGATGGGCCAGGGAACGGGGTTCACATTATCCGGTATTATTCAAGATTCTCTTTTTTTTTTTCATGGAATACATCACTCAGACTGGGTTAAGCAGCAAATGGAATGCATTCACTCACATAACAGAAAAGTTTGGGGCTTCAGGCATGGCTGGATTCAGGGGCTTAAACTATGACATCGGGATTAAGTCTTTACTCTCCATTTCTTGACTCTATTTCCTGTTGACTTTTCATTCTTAGGCTTCCTTTTCCCCATGAGATGGCAGAATGGCTGCTTACAACTTCAAATCACACCCTTTCCAGCAGAAACGGAGTTTCTTTTCCCTGATGCTGTCAACAAAAGTCCCAGGACTACATCTCATTGGTCGAACTTGTGTTACCCGTGCATCACTAAACCACTCTCCTGAGAAGAAGCATGGAACATTCTGACAGCTCCTCTCAAATCGCATGGGCTGAGATTTGGGGAGAGCTGGCTTCCTGTGCTAGGTCATTTCTGTTGGCCCTTCCAGATCTACTCTCCACCCTTTTCCTTCCTGATTTGAGCCTCAAGAGGCCAACCTGCATGGACTGCTTCCACAGGTCCCTTGTCCTCTGACTTACAGTTGAATTCACCAAATAGAAGACATTGGAAATGAGACCCAAGGGTTGGAGGAGGAGGAACGTAAGGGTTTTATTCCTCTGGCCCCTGCCCTTCTGGGTTGCTGCAGGTTGGCTACATGCATTTATTGAAGCTTCTGTCAACTGGCCTTCTTCACACAGGTACTCTCTCCTAGTTCTAGTAAATTCTCCTTTCTCCACCTCCAGAATTATCCACCCTGGAGGTGATAATGGCTCCCCTCTGTTGCTTGCCACAGTGTATCACACCATCAGACCTGCTTTTTCCCTCAACCCTGCCCGCACATCTGTATGGAACCTTTACTAAACCCTCTTTAGATTAATCATCTGCTGGGATGCTGATGGTTACATTCACCAAAGGAGATTCAAGTTTCTATTACCAAAAGAAAGGGGAATGAATCAAGGGCAGGCAACAGCACTACGGTAGTGATACTGGTTTGGAAGAAGTATCACCACAAGTGCAGACCAGAGATGACTGTGGCTCGGACAGGGTCATGATGGGGGAAGCAATGAGAAATGGTAGGATTCTGGCTATATCTCAGAGGAAGTGTTAACACAGTTTACTGAGGAATTGTATGTAAATTATGAGTGGTAGAGAGGAGCTGAGGATGGAAACAGTTGGAAAACATGCATCTGGAGCCTAGGAGTGAGCTCAATGAGTAGTGATTGGGACGGAGGCGCGGTAGTTAGTTGAAACCACGGGCTCAGATGAAATCACCCCAGGAGCGCATGTAGAATAGAACACAGAAAAGGCAAAGGGCAGAATCTAGAAGAACAAACACCAGCCTTTCCATGGTGAACAGAGGAAGAGTTGCCATCTTGTATCTATCATCTAGATCGTGAGCAACTCGATAACCTGAGAACAAGAACAGAATCTTCCACATCCTTCCTCTTTACTATCATGTCTAGCGAGGTGATGACCACATGGTGGGTAATAAATGCTTGTTATGAATGAACTTGACACAGTTTCACATTTCTAACACTCCCTCCCTCTCCATCTCATGTGAGGTTTGAGTTACAGGCTGAGAAAAAGAGAAATTGATCCCTGTGGCTCAATCCACTGAAACCTATGCCCAGGTTGCTAAGCATTTCGCTGCCCTGGAAAACTGAAGCAGAACCTCTCAGACGATGCCACAGATGCTGAGTAGCACACCTCTTGCCTTTCAGGAGAATTTCCAGACCGGCGACTTCATTTCAGATTTTCTTACTCTTATTTGAGTAGATTTAACAGCAAATACCCTAACAAATCCTTATTAGGTTTGTTTTGGGGCTGTGCTATGGCAATAATACAAGTGGCAAAAGATCTCCATCTCACATGCATACATTGCTGGTGGAATGTGAAAGGATGCAACTGCTTTTTAGAAACTGCCAGTTTACCAAGCTAAATGTACACCTACCCTATGACCCAGAAATTCCACTCCGAGATGTAGACTCGAGAAACCCAGGCAAATGTCTACCAAAAAAGAGGCTGGTGCAAGAATGCTCTTAACATCTTGGCTGGGTGCCGTGACTCACCCCTGTGATCCCAGCACTTTGGGAGGCCAAAGTGGGTGGACCATTTGGGGTCAGGGGTTTGAGACCAGCCTGGGCAACATAATTAAATACAAAAATTAGCTGGGCGTGGTGACAGGCACCTGTAATCCCAGTGACCCGGGAAGGCTGAGGTGGGAGAATGGCTTGAACCCGAGAGGCAGAGGTTGCAGTGAGCCAAGATTGTGCCACTGCATTCAAGCCTGAGCAACAGAGTGAGACTCCATCTCAAAAAAACAAAAACAAAACAACAAAAAATCTTTACTCATACTGTTCTCCAATTGTAAATATCCCAAATGCCCATAAGAGGAATGGATAAGAAAACCATGGTATATTCAAACAATATGATACTACACAGCAATAAAAAAAAAATGAAATACTGATACACAAAACAATGGATAAATCTCAAAAAGCAATTGTTGAGCAAAAGAAGTCAAAAAGCATAGATGTATGATTTCATTTATATGAAAGTCAAGAAGAGGCAAAACTAATGTATGGTAATAAGCATCAGAATAGCGGTTGCTTCTGAGGATAGGGATTAACTGGAAAGGGGCACAGAACATTCAGGGGTTATGGAAATATTCTTCCCATGCCAGTATGTTTACTAGACACGGTTCTAGGCATTGGGAATACAGCAGTGAACAAAACAAACCGAGTCCCTGCTTTTATACAAATCCATCTGAGTTCTGTTAATTGGTTGCATTGTTTAATGCATTTTAAATAGGAAAAAAGTGACCTTTCTTTAAATATAGTCTATGACAAGTCTGAGGAACTTTCTTGCTTCGTTTTTAGTTGCTGATGGGAAGGCAGAAAAGTACAATGGCAAGAGTACGGGCTCCAGGAAGTCAGCTCTACCACTGACTGCTTGGGTGATTTTTCGGCAAGTTCTTTAAGCCTGTGAAGTCTTACTTTTCTCATCTGTTACGACGGATTTTTTAATTATGATTTTTATAATTTACAAGCAAGGTCTCGCTTTTGTTGCCCAGGCTGGTCTCAAACTCCTGGGCTCAAGTGACCCTCCCACCTCAGCCTCCCAAAGTTAAATAGAATCGATGATACCTGCCTTGCAAAGTTGTTTTGTAAAGTGCCAGACACATTGCAGATGCTCAGGAAACATGACCTGGTTTATAAGCAGTTTACAAAAAAATTTTTACTTTTGCCCAGTGAGATATGAGCAGTGGGAGGCTGACTTGGCTGGCAGAGGTACCCTTTTGCTTCTTTTGTTCAAGATGGAGGCTCGCTCTATCACCCAGGCTGGAGTGCAGTGGTGTGATCTAGGCTCACTGCAACCTCGCCTCCCAGGTTCAAGCAATTTTCCTGCCTCAGCCTCCTGAGTAGCTAGGATTATAGGCATGTGCCACCACGTCTGGCTAATTTTTGTATTTTTAGTAGAGATGGGGTTTCACCATGTTGGCCAGGCTGGTCTCAAACTCCTGACCTTGTGATCCGCCCACCTCGTGTTCCCAAAGTGCTGGGATTACAGGCATGAGCCACCGCGCCTGGCCCAACCTTTTGCAGTTCTTTCTTCTAGCCTGCAATGTGAACACGATGGCTGGAGCTCCAGCAGCCATTTTGGACCAGGAGGTAATCTTGAAGATGGAAGCCACATGTCAGGATGGTGAATCCAAAAGATGAGGAGCCTGTATCCCTTGTGACACCAGAGCTGCCATACCAGCCCTGGGCTCCTCCATCTATACTGCCTTCATATGGTAAAGATATATTCTTGTATCTTGTTAGGTGTCTGTTGCAGCCAAACACAATCCCAACTGATATTCACCATAAATGATTCCATGGCTCCCTGTAGTACTTTTTCAAAGCATCTATCACAATTGTAATTAATAAAATAATTATGCAATTACTGGTCTAATGCCTAAGTCCCAAGTAGAATATCAGTTCCATGTGGGCAGGGATTAGTCTGTTCATGGATGTATTCCCAGCTCCTATAACAACATCTGGTTCTGGTAGGTAGTAAGTGCACAATAAATGTAGTGGAGTGAAAGGGAGAGAGGAAACGGAGCTGCTTCTGATGAGGAGAGAAATCGCTGCATGAGAGAGCATGCAGTGAGAAAGAGAGAAGGGGAAACTAGAGGCCTGCCTGCTTTAACTCTAGGAATCGATCGATCTCTATCTCAGACTCATTAATATGCATCTGGGTGTGCTGGATATTTTAGTTCATGTTCTGCCACACACTCTAGATCTCCTATAGGATTTGCATCACAGATGGTACCTTTTCCTGAAGAACCTTAAATTAACCTGCCTCCCTGGTAACACCCTCATTTGTCTCCCATTCCTGGCAAGTCAGCCATTCCCCCAAGAAGAGAGTTGCAACACGATCCAATAGTTTGCTGGAGGAGTGAAACTTCTTATCAGCACCACATCCAACATTGGTTGGGAGATGAGTCATGTTGATTTTTGATATTTAAAATTTTCTCATCAAAATTGGACTTGGCCTTTATAGAACATTTGAAAACAAAAAGATAAATAAAAAAAATTCAAATCACATACAATCCCAGGATCCAGAGATAGTCATGTGCAAGGAAAATACCTTGGGTCCCCCAAATCACTAAGCTAAAGGGAAAAGTCAAGCTGGGAACGGCTCAGGGCAAACCTGTTTCCCATTCTATTCAAAGTCACCCCTCTGCTCACTGAGATAAATGCATATCTGATTGCCTCCTTTGGAGAGGCTCATCAGAAACTCAAAGGAATGCAGCCATTTGTGTCTTATCTACCTATGACCTGGAAGCCTCTTCCCCACTTCAAGTCGTCCCGCCTTTCCAGACCAACCAATGTTCATCGTACATATGTTGGTTGATGTCTCATGAGTCCCTAAAATGTATAAAACCAAAGTGTGCTCTGACACCTTGAGTACATGTTGTCATGCTGTCAGGACCTCCTGAGGCTGTGTCATAGGCATGTGTCTTCCACATTGGCAAAATAAACTTTTTTTCTTTTTTGAGACAGAGTCTCGCACTGTCGCCCAGGCTGGAGTGCAGTGGTGCAATCTTGGCTCACTGCAAGCTCCGCCTCCCAGGTTCATGCCATTCTCCTGCCTCAGCTTCCCTAGTAGCTGGGACTACAGGTGCCCGCCACCACACCCAGCTAATTTTTTTGTATTTTTAGTAGAGACGGGGTTTCAGCATGTTAGCCATGGTGGTCTCAATCTCCTGACCTCGTGATCTGCCCACCTCGGCCTCCCAAAGTGCTGGGATTACAGGCATGAGCCACCGCACCGGGCCCAACCTTGGCAAAATAAACTTTCTAAATTAACTGAGAACTGTCTTAGATTTTTGGAGTTCAGAGTCACTATTCAATATTTTAGTATAGAGTATTTTTCTCCAATTTTTTGGGTAAGATTAGTATACCATTAATCAGCCAATTTGGATCTCCTATCTATTTCACTTAACATATTGCAAACATTATCTTGTGCTTTAAAATACTATTTAAATTTTTAATGACTACATAATATTGCATTGTGTATTCTGTTATTTATCTAATTATTTCCTTATTGTTGTAATCAAAGTTTCATTCCAATTTTCTCTTACATGATTAACCATACAATGAATATCTTTATATGTAAAATACACTGTTGCATGTATGATTATTTCCTCAGCATAGATTCCTAGAAGCAGTTACTAGGCAAGGGGCATGAACATTTAAAAAAACTCTTACCAGAAAATGACAAAATGCATTTCAAAAAGGTTGTTACTGTATTTAGTTATAAATGCCTTTCCTGATTGATAGGCAAAAAAAAAAAAACCCAAAAAACAAAAAACCTTCCCAAACATGACATCTTGATTTTTCATGTGCTTCATTTGAGATCTGCCCTGGTTCTCTGTCCATTCTTCCACTGAACTATTAGCATTGTTTGTTTATAAGAACAAATACACTGTGGATAGTAACCCTGTGATTACATTTGTTGAAAATTTTCTCTTCATAATTTCCCTTTCGAAAATTTTCCTTTTTTGATATAAAGATGTTTTAAAAATTTTATTTGGCCAGGAGTGGTGGCTCATGCCTGTAACCCCAACCATTTGGGAGGCCGAGGCAAGAGGACTGCTTGGCTCCAGGAGTTCGAGATCAGCCTGGGTAAACAAGTGAAATCTTGTCTCTACAAAAAATAAAAAAATTGGCTGGGTGTGGTGGCATGCACCTTTGCTTCCAGCTACACAGGAGGCTGAGGTGGGAGCACTGCTTGAGCCCAGGAGGTCAAGGCTGCAGTGAGCCATGATTGCACCACTGTACTCCAGCCTGGGTGACAGTGTTTTGAGACCTTGTCTCAAAACAAACAAAAAACTCATGTAATCCTAGCACTTCAGGAGGCCCAGGAGGGAGAATCATTTGAGCCCAGAAGTTCAAGACCAGCCTGGGCAACATGGCAACCCCCCAATCTCTACAAAAAAAAAATTAGCCTGGGCATAGTGGCAGG